ATCTCTTTCTGCGACTGCTCGAAGTTGAGAGCCAGACGCTTATCTTACCTTGAGGTTACCTTGAGGTGATTTTAGGGCTTAGCGACCCCGCGGCCCGGTCGTCGATCAGGCCTCCTCGTTGCTGAACTAGTCAACCAGGGGCCAGATTCACGAAGCAGTTACGCCAGCACTTACGATCCTTTACATCTTTTCTCAATCTTTGGCGGCTTTGTTTACAACTTTTAAACAGATAATGAGCTCCGAAGCACCAGGAGGCTGTTTATAACAATGACAACAGTTGAATGGGAAGTTTTCATGCTTGTAAACTGTGTACTTAATGTAACCAAAGCCGTCAAAGATTGAGATGTACACGTTCGTAAGTGCTTGCGTAAGTGCTTTCGTGAATCTGACCCCAGGCTTGTTGGACGCTTGGGAATATAACCTCAACAAGCTTTGCAGGGTGACCGGTTCTAATCTGGATATGATCCTAGAGGGGTCGGGGGCCTGTCCCAATTTGATTCCCCATTTTGAGTCGTGAACGACAAGTGTTCCTGGACAAAGTCATTCTTTTACCGTGAGGTGTTTACTATACCGCCAACGTCCCTCCTGGCCGTCCCTACCTCTCACCTCACGCAACTTTCTGATGGGCTGAGTGGGCATGAGTGCCCCAGTACCCTGGGCACCGCCCTTCCTTGTTCGTCAGCCTTCACCAACTTGAAAATCAGCCCATAACACCTGTGTTAACACCAGAGGCACATATAACACCAGTGTTAACACCAGGGGCACATATAACACCAGTGTTAACACCAGAGGCACATATAACACCTGTGTTAACACCAGAGGCACATATAACACCTGTGTTAACACCTGAGGCACATATAACACCAGTGTTAACACCAGAGGCACATATAACACCTGTGTTAACACCAGAGGCACATATAACACCAGTGTTAACACCAGAGGCACATATAACACCTGTGTTAACACCCGAGGCACATATAACACCTGTGTTAACACCAGAGGCACATGTAACACCTGTGTTAACACCAGAGGCACATATAACACCAGTGTTAACACCAGAGGCACATATAACACCAGTGTTAACACCAGAGGCACATATAACACCTGTGTTAACACCAGAGGCACATATAACACCTGTGTTAACACCAGAGGCACATATAACACCTGTGTTAACACCAGAGGCACATATAACACCAGTGTTAACACCAGAGGCACATATAACACCAGTGTTAACACCAGAGGCACATATAACACCAGAGGCACATATAACACCAGTGTTAACACCAGAGGCACACATATAGCACCTGTGTTAACACCAGAGGCACATATAACACCTGTGTTAACACCAGAGACACATATAACACCTGTGTTAACACCAGAGGCACATATAACACCTGTGTTAACACCAGAGACACATACAACACCAGTGTTAACACCAGAGACACATATAACACCAGTGTTAACACCAGAGACACATATAACACCTGTGTTAACACCGGAGGTACATATAACACCTGTGTTAACATCGGAGGCACATATAACACCTGTGTTAACACCAGAGGCACATATAACACCTGTGTTAACACCAGAGACACATATAACACATGTGTTAACATCAGAGACACATATAACACCTGTGTTAACACCGGAGGCACATATAACACCTGTGTTAACACCCGAGGCACATATAACACCTGTGTTAACACCCGAGGCACATATAACACCTGTGTTAACACCAGAGGCACATATAACACCTGTGTTAACACCAGAGGCACATATAACACCTGTGTTAACACCAGAGGCACATATAACACCTGTGTTAACACCAGAGGCACATATAACACCTGTGTTAACACCCGAGGCACATATAACACCTGTGTTAACACCAGAGGCACATATAACACCTGTGTTAACACCAGAGACACATATAACACATGTGTTAACATCAGAGACACATATAACACCTGTGTTAACACCGGAGGCACATATAACACCTGTGTTAACACCCGAGGCACATATAACACCTGTGTTAACACCCGAGGCACATATAACACCTGTGTTAACACCCGAGGCACATATAACACCTGTGTTAACACCCGAGGCACATATAACACCTGTGTTAACACCAGAGGCACATATAGCACCAGTGTTAACACCAGAGACACATATAACACCAGTGTTAACACCAGAGGCACATATAACACCAGTGTTAACACCAGAGGCCCATATAACACCAGTGTTAACACCAGAGGCACATATAACACCTGTGTTAACACCAGAGGCACATATAGCACCAGTGTTAACACAAGAGACACATATAACACCAGTGTTAACACCGGAGGCTCACACAACACCTGTGTTAACACCAGAGGGACATATAACACCAGTGTTAACACCAGAGGCACATATAACACCTGTGTTAACACCGGAGGCTCACACAACACCTGTGTTAACACCAGATGCACATATAACACCTGTGTTAACACCAGAGACACATATAACACCTGTGTTAACACCGGAGGCTCACACAACACCGACGGGTGAACGGACGCAACTGGATGCTGGAGTCTGGGAGGTGTGTGGAAACATTGCATGCAGTTTAAGTGGTAAACATGACAGCCTAATGCGGACTCCTACTCCTCCAGCCACAGTTCCGAGAGCAACAGCGGGTGTTAGCAGACACTAACCACCCAGCTACCAGCAGATTTAACAGCTAGGAGGCTGTTCCCACGATGGAAGTCCTATAAAAATACTGGAGCATGAATAATTCTGCGCTCACACACACACAGCAATAATCCACATCATCTAAGCAAACGTTGAAGACCACATTGACTTTTTCGTGAGTGCGAGGAGAGCGTGGAGGCGCCAGTCACTCAGTAAACACAGGGGGGTCATTGCCCCACTGACCGCCAACCCTACACTATACCTTCCTCCTTGCTGCTTCACTACTCTTCAACAACCCGGCCTCCTAATAGAACGGCGCTTTTTAGACGTATTAACTAAGATCTAGTGTGAATTTCACGCTGCCTGAGGTCTACGAGGGTGTCGAGGACCATACTGAATCCTTCGACCCAGCGCCCTCTTTCACCCTGGGGGGAGGGGTTATCTTGAGATGATTTCGGGGCTTAGTGTCCCCTCGGCCCGGTCCTCGACCAGGCCTCCACTCCTAGGAAGCAGCCCGTGACAGCTGACTAACGGCTAGGTACCTATTTACTGCTAGGTAACAGGAGCATCAGGGTGAAAGAAATTCTGCCCATTGTTTCTCGCCGGCGTCCGGGATCGAACCCGGAGCACAGGATCGCGCGTCCAGTGTTCTGTCCGCTCAGCCACCGGCTCCCTTAAGCCGGTGACTGCAGGGGGGGCTGCAGTATGTGCTCTGACTGTCCTCAGCGCCGATGTACAAGTTCCTGTTCCCAGTACAAGTCGCAGTTATGTAACTTCAAGCCAATTGACATCCCGAGTCTCGTATAAGACTGGCTTCGTAACATCATTGTTCTGACAGCAACTCCAACAACAAACCTATACACAACCATTTAGGAAGCCTTGATAGCTTCAGCTTCAAAAATCGTGGTTTTATTATCAACCCGTCCTCAGACTAAGTCCATTCCATGCAGCGGTCGACCCCATAGACGCATTCATAAATTTTAACATGCCGCTCATTCAAAACAGGAACGTTCTCAAATATAAATTTAGTATGTTATATTATATAGTATCTTCAATTTCGAGTGTGTGGTTTGGACAACATAAATATTCATTTAAAAAAGTTTGCTTGTAGCATTTCCATAAAGAAGCTCGGTGAAGATTGAGGAGAAGTTGAACAATTAAAATGTCCTGTAAAAAAGATGACGGTCGTCATGGATGATAGGCCTAATTAATTATAAAACAGAGTACTGACACATTTTCAAGTAATTGGTAATGCCAGCTGACCTTTTAAAAAACAATGTGTGAGAGGTGCAGATATTTAATATAGCCTACCACAGGGATAGCACGTGTAGTTGAGCAATTGCATGAATAATCCTTGGACCGGCAATTGACCTCTTAAGCTGATCTCTTAATGTCAAAAAGGGGTTGTTCTAAGCGTTAAGAATTATTGTCAAGACCTGTCATGGCCCTAACCCGTCAAACACACACCGAAGCTACGACATTGATACAACGTTCGAACACGTTTTAACACCTCCTAACCAGTTATAACAACCAATATAGCAAGTTGTAACAACGTTCTAATACGTCATAAACACGTTAAGCCAAGATGTAACAACTTTATTACAAGTTGTAACAAGCGGAAAATAGAGACAGTTACGGTTTGTGTTTCCAGGGATATTTATTAATTATGCGTGTGGTCGACAATGTGGGACGCTGAGACCCTGGGGTCAGGACATTGTTGGGTTGGACGGGCTGAAATTGAATTGAAATTGAAATTGAAATAAGTTTATTGAGGTAAAATACACACAAAGGGATGAGGTAGCTCAAGCTATTCTCACCCCGTTCAGTACAACGTGTTAATACATACATAGACACACATCACAAACAATAAACATATTACCAAACATTCTGAGAAGAACGGGCTGTGTACGGCGGGCATCTGTTGACAGTATCCAGGTGACGTGCTCATCTTCCATTAACCGCACATCAGTGCCAAACCACCTTCACCTAGTGCCAAACTTCCAAGGAGTCCACAACGGGGATGAGCTGAGGGATCGTAACCCAGCAAGATTGGCCCAGCCCGTCCTCCTACGGTTTCCCAACGTCAGGAAACTGTCGTACTAAAGTGTCCTCTTCTAACCTACCAGAGGACCCAAAACAGAAAATGGGACAGAATGTCACTTTCACGAGCCGCTACCATTTTCTAGTACGACAGTTTTTGGCCTTAGGTAGACTATACGTCAAAATATGACGTGCTATTGGGAGGACGGGTTGATGGGGTGTTATACAGTTGGTGCAAAGCTTGCAAATGCCACTTTACAAGGTTGACAGCCGCGGGCTGGAAGAGGCATTAGCAAGCATTTTCTCATACGGTATAGAGCGTTCTAGTCCAGGCCAAACTTGAAGTACATACAACAATTATATGAAGTTAACCATCAGTGTCCAAATCAAGCCGTTATACTTTATCTGTATTGTCATTCAGGGTAAGAGCGCACTTAGCCAGACGTGGTGGAGCCGCCGTGGCGGGCGGACGTGTCTCGTTGTGCTCCTCGAGTAGCAGTTAACGGAGGGTTGTTGTATTTCTGTGCTCTGAGAGCCGTTGCTTGGGCAAGGGCTGAGAGTGATGGTCATGGATCCCTCTACCGACATAGTTCGCCGTCGTAATACGGTGAGCCTCAGTTAACCTACAAGTCTGATTAACCGTTAGTGTGTGTGCGTCACCCAATTCGATGTAGCAGGTGTCCAGCAGCTCTCCCCACCGCTAGTCTTGGTGAGTTTGGTACACCTGCGTCGTTCGATGGCTGCCTCCGTGATTTTGAGGGGCTAGTTTTGCCCTTGCCTGCAAGTCTGAGACGGTGCAAGTAAGTAATTATCAAAAGAAGGCACCAAGCCGGGACGGTGCAAGTGGAGACTTAGTCTCCGAGTGAGTTATGCATCCATCAAAGATGACCCCTTTGAGATACCCGACGGGGTGGTAGCCGCGTTTATTTGACACTATGCGCAAGTCCTCGGGGTTCGACCACTCCCGTTATACGTATGGAACGTGCAAGGGCACAGTTACTGGCTCCTGGACGGTACGAGTCCTTCTCTCCCGTCCCGCGCCGTCCTCGATCTCGGTGATGGGTTTTCGTCATTGTGTATTCTACAGCGGTCAGCAACGTACCTGCTTCAAGTGTGGCCTTTCTGGCGGCGATGTGTGCAGTTGAGGCGAGGGGCCGGGGTCAACCTGTTGCTCCGCGAGTATGGTTTTCCCTGGCTGCCGTGTTTCCAGGCCAGTACACCTCGGGTGGAGTACTGCCCGCGGAATCTTTGGCGACCTTGTTTACACTTTAAACAGTTGATGAACTCTGAAGCACCAGGACGCTGCTTATAACAATAACAACATTTGACTGTGAATTTTAGATGCTTGTGAACTGTTTAATAAATGTAAACAAATCCGCCAAAGATTGGGAAGATGTACAGGTTCGTAAGTACTTGCAACCCGTCCTCGACTCAAGTCCATTACATTCAGCGGTCGACCCCACAGACGCATTCATAAATTTTAACATGCTGTTCATTCAAAACGGGAATTTTCGCAAGTATAAATTATTATAATAGCATATTGTGTATATATAGGCATAGGATAGGTTAGGTGTTTAGGTTCTGTTGGCGATTATTTGTATTTGTAGTACGTGGGTGAAGCATTTATAGCGTTGTGATTCGAACAAAATTCGTCAGTGAAGCACTTGTTCCGGATATGTTCGAACGTCAGCAGTTGTGAGTCGTCGTGTGTAAACCGCTTTTCATTCATAAACAGGGGGTTTGGCGGGTGCACGGAATCACTTTTGGGTCTTTGTTTGGAGGACGGGCTTGTACTTAAGTAACTGCAAAATGAATCGGGCCGTCCTCTAAACAAAGACCCAAAGTCCATTCCATGCACCCGTCAAACCCCCCTGTTTATGAATGGAAAACGGTTTACACAAGACTCACAACTGCTGACGTTCGAACACTTCCAAAACAAGTGCTTCACTGATGAATTTTGTTCGAACTACAACGCTGTAAATGCTTCACCCACGTACTACAAATACAAATAATCGCCAACAGAACCTAAACACCTAACCTAACCTATGCCTATATATGCACAATATGCTAATATATTATAATATTAATTTATTCTTGAGAAAATTCCCGTTTTGAATGAACAGCATGTTAAAATTTATGAATGCGTCTTTGGGGTCCGCTGGATGGAATGGACTTGGTCTGATGTCGGGTTGAATGACTCCCGGTCCAGTTTCGTTAAGGTAGCCGCCCACCCCTATGTTACATGCAGGAATTCTAAAATCCTGTGTATTAAAACTAGGTTAGTTCATGCAGCGGCTGACCCCAACGACGCATTCATAAATCATACGATGCTATTCATTCAGAGTAGAAATTTTCTCAAACTTAAACGTTATACAATAATAATTCAGTGTGTCGGGGGGACAGGCAGCCAGAATGTATTCATACATGTTAGGTTTATAACGAGGTCTCCCAAAATTGGTTCTCATCCACCTCAGTAGCGTGGCGACATCCACCTCAGTAGCGTGGCGACATCCACCTCAGTAGCGTGGCGACATCCACCTCAGTAGCGTGGCGACATCCACCTCAGTAGCGTGGCGACATCCACCTCAGTAGCGTGGCGACATCCACCTCAGTAGCGTGGCGACATCCACCTCAGTAGCGTGGCGACATCCACCTCAGTAGCGTGGCGACATCCACCTCAGTAGCGTGGCGACATCCACCTCAGTAGCGTGGCGACATCCACCTCAGTAGCGTGGCGACATCCACCTCAGTAGCGTGGCGACATCCACCTCAGTAGCGTGGCGACATCCACCTCAGTAGCGTGGCGACATCCACCTCAGTAGCGTGGCGACATCCACCTCAGTAGCGTGGCGACATCCACCTCAGTAGCGTGGCGACATCCACCTCAGTAGCGTGGCGACATCCACCTCAGTAGCGTGGCGACATCCACCTCAGTAGCGTGGCGACATCCACCTCAGTAGCGTGGCGACATCCACCTCAGTAGCGTGGCGACATCCACCTCAGTAGCGTGGCGACATCCACCTCAGTAGCGTGGCGACATCCACCTCAGTAGCGTGGCGACATCCACCTCAGTAGCGTGGCGACATCCACCTCAGTAGCGTGGCGACATCCACCTCAGTAGCGTGGCGACATCCACCTCAGTAGCGTGGCGACATCCACCTCAGTAGCGTGGCGACATCCACCTCAGTAGCGTGGCGACATCCACCTCAGTAGCGTGGCGACATCCACCTCAGTAGCGTGGCGACATCCACCTCAGTAGCGTGGCGACATCCACCTCAGTAGCGTGGCGACATCCACCTCAGTAGCGTGGCGACATCCACCTCAGTAGCGTGGCGACATCCACCTCAGTAGCGTGGCGACATCCACCTCAGTAGCGTGGCGACATCCACCTCAGTAGCGTGGCGACATCCACCTCAGTAGCGTGGCGACATCCACCTCAGTAGCGTGGCGACATCCACCTCAGTAGCGTGGCGACATCCACCTCAGTAGCGTGGCGACATCCACCTCAGTAGCGTGGCGACATCCACCTCAGTAGCGTGGCGACATCCACCTCAGTAGCGTGGCGACATCCACCTCAGTAGCGTGGCGACATCCACCTCAGTAGCGTGGCGACATCCACCTCAGTAGCGTGGCGACATCCACCTCAGTAGCGTGGCGACATCCACCTCAGTAGCGTGGCGACATCCACCTCAGTAGCGTGGCGACATCCACCTCAGTAGCGTGGCGACATCCACCTCAGTAGCGTGGCGACATCCACCTCAGTAGCGTGGCGACATCCACCTCAGTAGCGTGGCGACATCCACCTCAGTAGCGTGGCGACATCCACCTCAGTAGCGTGGCGACATCCACCTCAGTAGCGTGGCGACATCCACCTCAGTAGCGTGGCGACATCCACCTCAGTAGCGTGGCGACATCCACCTCAGTAGCGTGGCGACATCCACCTCAGTAGCGTGGCGACATCCACCTCAGTAGCGTGGCGACATCCACCTCAGTAGCGTGGCGACATCCACCTCAGTAGCGTGGCGACATCCACCTCAGTAGCGTGGCGACATCCACCTCAGTAGCGTGGCGACATCCACCTCAGTAGCGTGGCGACATCCACCTCAGTAGCGTGGCGACATCCACCTCAGTAGCGTGGCGACATCCACCTCAGTAGCGTGGCGACATCCACCTCAGTAGCGTGGCGACATCCACCTCAGTAGCGTGGCGACATCCACCTCAGTAGCGTGGCGACATCCACCTCAGTAGCGTGGCGACATCCACCTCAGTAGCGTGGCGACATCCACCTCAGTAGCGTGGCGACATCCACCTCAGTAGCGTGGCGACATCCACCTCAGTAGCGTGGCGACATCCACCTCAGTAGCGGTCTTAATGATTACCATCTATCGTATGTCCTTACTGGCTCCCCTAGCCGTGTACATTACCATGCTGGAACACTGCTGACCACAGTACCTGGTGTAGGACTGTTCCGCTGACTCAGGCTGTCATCAACTAGTACAAGCCTTCATATTTAATGCTGACCCGCAGCTCTGGGTGCCGAGTGTGTGGCAATATACTCGCAGGGTGAAGTCCCACTCGGGCGGTTCACATATTTGAGTGTACATCTTTTTTTATTTTCATTTTTCAGGCGACCAAGACCAGCACTGGAGTGGTGGTGTGGGTGGCGGTGAGCTGCCTGGTGGGCGGCGCTCTGGCCTCCACACTTACTCAACACCAACACCACACAAACGGTCAAAGCAAAAACATCACAAACCAACAAGAGAGAGATGGGAAATGTAAGTAAGAAGCTAGATTGAACACTAGAATTTTCGTTGTAATGTTTTTAGTGTTTACCTATCAGTGACGACGAGGAAGTCGTCAAACTCTCACAAGTCGAGCCTGGCCTCGGGCCGGGCTTGGGGAGTAGAACAACTCCCAGAACCCCATCAACCAGGTATCAACCAGGTATCAACCAGGTAACCAGGAAGTGAGGTTTAACTCTTTTTGCCCCGCCTACCAGCCTAGTTGTTCCCGCTCCGTTATAGCTCAACTATTCTTATGTTCAAATTCTTTGTCAATCTATCCTATATAAGTTGAGGATGGTGGTGGCTTCCACAACTTCTCTTAGGGCATTCAACTTGTTAAGACCCCGTACAGGGCACGAGTATTCCTCACATTTCTTAGACTCATTTGTGATTCCATCTTAAACGTGTGTCCTTGTCCTACTTTTCTCAATTTCAAGGAGTCTGTCTTTGTCCACTTTGTCTATTCCCCCGAGTATCTTGTATGTTGTGATCATATTTCCTCTGTTTTTCTGCCCTTCAGGGTTGTGAGGTCCAGTTTCTTTAATCTGTTCTCACTGCTTAACCCCCTTAGCTCTGGAACTAATCTAACCGGAAACCTCTGGGATTATTCAATTTCAGTTTTATGCTTCACAAGGTGTGGACACCAGGTAGGTTCTTCATGTCTTAGGAAAGTCTTGTAGTTTGCCTTGAAATAATCTTGATTTGGGTTTCTAAATAACAACGTTCTAATGTTTACCAGCGTCCCATATGCTGCTGATGCCACCCTGCCTGTGTGTGCCTCTGGTGTTTGAGTGGATATAATTCCATCACTTTCACATATAATTCATACAAGGTGAATTATATATCATCTTGTACTTTATCTGTTGCCTGTAGTTGTTTTCCTTCAAGTACTCCCTCACTCAGTACTCCGGTTATCCCAGCTTGAATCTCTATCTTGTACACTAGTGTTTCGCGAGGAACAATGTCAAATGTTTTATGACAGTCTAGGAAAATGCAATCTATCCCTCCATTTCTGTCATTTTTTTTTCTTTTTCTGCGCCACTTATTAAACCATGGGATGTACTCTGCGAACAAATCCACAAGGGCCGCGACGAGGATTTAAACCTAGGCCCAGCCCTGGAAACACAAACCGAAACTGTCTCTATTTTCCGCTTGTTACAAATTGTAATAAAGTTGTTACATCTTGGCTTAACGTGTTTATGACGTATTAGAACGTTGTTACAACTTGCTATATTGGTTGTTATAACTGGTTAGGTGTTAAAACTTGTTCGAACGTTGTATCAACGTCGTAGTTTCGGTGTGTGTTTGGCGGGAGGATGATCCCAGACGCGCCTTAGTCAACTGTGCCACATGGTAAAAAAAATTTCAACCTGGAGTGCTCCTGCCCTCACGAAGGGCACTAGTCCCTCGAACCCTTATCACGGCCATTGTGGATTTGTTCATTTGATATGTCACGCTATTGTGATCTGTGTGTGTATTTACTCTGCCTCTCTCGTCCACCTCCTCCTTGAGTGGGATGTACAGCTCCGTGCCGTCTGCACATTTCTGAGCAATAACTTTCATCATTGTATTTGTTGTCTTCCATTCCGGTACTCTACACCCCTCCCCCTAACCACTCCCGTCCCTGGACTCCACTCGCTGCCTGTCCTTGACCACGTTGTTTATTCCTATTAGTATCTTGTATGTATTAATCATATTCCCGTAGCTTCTTTGCGCTTCTAAGGTTATGAGCTTCAGTTTTCTGAACCTGTCCTCGTGGCTGAGCTCTCTCATTCTGGCCCTGATCTTGTTACAAACCTGTGATGGTACGTAATCTAGTAGTATGCCCCTGGGGTATGTTTGCCCGTCATGTGTGGGCATCAGGGGTATGTCTGCCCGTCATGTGTGGGCATCAGGGGTATGTCTGCCCCTCACGTGTGGGCATCAGGGGTATGTCTGCCCGTCACGTGTGGGCATCAGGGGTATGTCTGCCCGTCACGTGTGGGCATCAGGGGTATGTCTGCCCGTCACGTGTGGGCATCAGGGGTATGTCTGCCCGTCACGTGTGGGCATCAGGGGTATGTCTGCCCCTCACGTGTGGGCATCAGGGGTATGTCTGCCCCTCACGTGTGGGCATCAGGGGTATGTCTGCCCCTCACGTGTGGGCATCAGGGGTGTGTCTGCCCCTCACGTGTGGGCATCAGGGGTATGTCTGCCCCTCACGTGTGGGCATCAGGGGTATGTCTGCCCCTCACGTGTGGGCATCAGGGGTATGTCTGCCCCTCACGTGTGGGCATCAGGGGTATGTCTGCCCCTAACGTGTGGGCATCAGTGGTAGTGTGTCCGGTCACCACCCCAGAACACCGCACTCATAGTGGTCGGTCCTGCACCCATTTTGTGAACAAACTACCATCTGAAGCCCCCTTGTTAGCAGGCCTCCACGAAACGCCTATATCTTAATAGGCCTACAATATGCGCCGGTAAAGCTGGACATACCAATAGTGGAACTGAGGACCAAATGCTGGCCATGTTCTCTAGTGCAGGTATCTGGAAGCTTCAGTGTTTTAGTTCTTAGTTAAGGAATGTCTCAGATGTTGTGTTCAGGGTGAGGCAGCGCCCTTGTGCTACAATATAAGTCTGATGCATGTGATAGCGGCGGACAGGGATATGCATGAATCCTGGGGCACTAGGATACTATTACTACTGAAATTGTACTATTCCACTATTGCAATATTCATCTTTACAGTATCCTATGATGTTCTGATGCTGCGGGGTCCATCTCCCTCGTACACCTTGCAGGTATGATGAATCAGTGTTGTGTGAACGAGCAAATAACCGCCCAATTGTATTCCTGCAGTTATCATCCTGGCGAAGATCGCCCGCGTGCAGTGCACCACCACGGACTCCGCCCACCCCCTTGGCACCTGCATGCCCATTAAAGAGTGCGCCAGCAAAGGAGGCAATTCCAAGGGCAGCTGTGCAGGCGGACTGGCCACCTGTTGTGTAAGTAAGTAGCCATATATATAACTGTGGTTGTGTAGGTGATAACCAGAGGGGCGGGAGGGTCCCTGGCCACGGGGGCGGGAGGCTCCCTGACCACGGGGGCGGGAGGTCCCCTGACCACGGGGGCAGGAGGCTCCCTGACCACGGGGGCGGGAGGGTCCCTGGCCACGGGGGCGGGAGGCTCCCTGACCACGGGGGCGGGAGGTCCCCTGGCCACGGGGGCGGGAGGCTCCCTGACCACGGGGGCGGGAGGCTCCCTGACCACGGGGGCGGGAGGTCCCCTGGCCACGGGGGCGGGAGGCTCCCTGACCACGGGGGCGGGAGGGTCCCTGACCACGGGGGCGGGAGGCTCCCTTACCACGGGGGCGGGAGGCTCCCTGACCACGGGGGCGGGAGGCTCCCTGACCACGGGGGCGGGAGGGTCCCTGACCACGGGGGCGGGAGGGTCCCTAACCACGGGGGCGGGAGGGTCCCTGACCACGGGGGCGGGAGGCTCCCTGACCACGGGGGCGGGAGGCTCCCTGACCACGGGGGCGGGAGGCTCCCTGACCACGGGGGCGGGAGGCTCCCTGACCACGGGGGCGGGAGGCTCCCTGACCACGGGGGCGGGAGGCCCCTGTGAGAGCGTGGTCACGCTGGGCGTCACAGCGCTGACTCACTGCTCTCTTACGACACGGGGACGGCTCCAAACTCCTCTTACCAAAAAAAAAAAAAACGTCGTTTTTAGCTCATATGCGTTAAATAAATTACATTTTCGATTTCTCACGGTAATCAATTACCATCAATCAGATACCCACCTAAGAATACGGTTGAGAGGCGGGACCAAAAAGCCGAAGCTCAACCCCCCGCAAGCACTACTGGGGAGTACAGTAAACTATTCTTGGTAGTTTTCCCCATGTTGGTAGTTTTTTATGCTGTAAGTGCCCCAGTTTTGTATTGTCCCATGTTTGTGTCTCGTGGTATTATTGTCCCATGTTTGTGTCTCATGGTATTATTGTCCCATGTTTGTCTCGTGGTATTATTGTCCCATGTTTGTCTCGTGGTATTATTGTCCCATGTTTGTGTCTCGTGGTATTATTGTCCCATGTTTGTGTCTCGTGGTATTATTGTCCCATGTTTGTGTCTCGTGGTATTATTGTTCCATGTTTGTCTCGTGGTATTATTGTTCCATGTTTGTCTCGTGGTATTATTGTCCCATGTTTGTGTCTCATGGTATTATTGTTCCATGTTTGTCTCGTGGTATTATTGTCCCATGTTTGTGTCTCATGGTATTATTGTCCCATGTTTGTGTCTCATGGTATTATTGTCCCATGTTTGTGTCTCATGGTATTATTGTCCCATGTTTGTGTCTCATGGTATTATTGTCCAGTGTTACTAGTAATTATTGCTAGTGTACCAGAGATCGCAAAGAGGGGAGGGGGAGGGAGGGGGGGTTAACCCTGACGTAGTGGAGGTAGTGTTAATGGTCTCGTCGTCGCCCCCTAAATCAACAACAATGTTAGTGGATCTCACTGATCCGACTTGATTTTAAGTGTATCTAAATGTTGAGAGAACATGTTCTCTATGCGAGTTAACCTAAGAATAATTAGTCACTGATGGAGCGATGATCTTGAGAATGGTACATTTAGCATAAGACACTTGATGGCTGAGCTCCTTGTGTTGTGATGTCCACCTTCTGGTAGTCCACGAAGTTGGGTCAAGTGGGGAACCTTCCGAATATTGGCCTTATACTTAACTTTATGACCGCCGACCTGGCTCCGGTGTTGAAGGCTTGATGAATGGATTAGTTCACCTAGCACGGGTCAAGACTAAAGTCTTCTCCAACAGTTCTCTTTGTTCAGAATTTGGATAAATCATGGCATTAAGGAGGGGGGGAGGCGTGCTATACAGGAGAGGTGCATGCTTATATTAGGAGCAAAATAGTGCTTGATGTGAGATTTTGCAAGCCAGTGTTGTCGAGAAAGTACGAGATGCCCCTTAAGGATGTACGTTTCTTGGTTACTTTGCTTGCAAGGTTCAACACGTCTCCTCACGGTCACTGAGGAGTCAGTCTTCACGTACAAGATGTTAACTTCACTGTGCACTAGGCTATAGCCTCCCATCTGTCTGCTTGTCACAGTTGTATTATCATGATATCTTGTAATCATTGCCTGTGTCTTCTCAGCTGGAAATATAACTTGTCATTACTTTCTCCAGTTAGATATGACAACCCTCGCATCAGTTGCCATTTCTTCTGAGCTTCAGAGGCCAAGCCTTTAGTCTGGAATATATAATTCTATCTCTCTCGTATCTTATGAATGGAAGGTAATGTTCTCTCGTCTCACCTTGGCCAGTAACGAAGACGTGTAACGAAGCCACAAGCGTCAACAACACGTACTTCGTTAACCCCGACGCCAACAGCCTGGAGCTGGGCGCCTGTACGCTCACCATCAACCACCTTGACAACAACATCTGCCAGATGAGGTTCGACTTTATAACCCTCGACCTCTCCCAGCCGGATTCCAATGGTATCTGCACTGACGACTTCCTGACTGTAACCGGCGGAGTGTCCAGTGTTCCCATGATTTGCGGATACAACAGTGGTCAACACAGTAAGTAGATGTCCAATGATCACTATTGACAGTGGTCAACATTGCCATGTTTCAGTCATCTTTTGCTCAAACAGATTTCAGCCTAGTGAGAATAAATCACAATGATATATGACAACGTAATCAATATTGACACAAGATATCCCAGTTAACTGTGGCACAAACATTTGTCAGTGAAGTGAGTAAATGTAACCACAAATTTTTAGTTTCGGCCATAACCATGACATCGTGGACGTCCCTGTGATGTTTACGACAAACTGTATCCAGTGTTGGTAAGAATGGGGATGGGGGTCTTGGTCTAAATGTACCAAAACTACATTTTTCCTATTTATTCTCCCTTGTTCTCTGTTATCCTGCTTTAATTCTCTTCTCCTTTTCCTCCTTTCTCTCCTATTCCCAGACTTTTCAGTTTACAGTGGGATGAAGAGGCCTTTCCCCGTCGCCTGTGGTCTGAGAAGCCAATAGTCGGATACCTCCTTGGCCTCTCTCCTGGCCTCCGGTCTTTCTTTTTAACCTCTCTGTCCTCAGTAACTCTCATGGTCCTTATCCTGGTCTCTCCCCTTGTAGAGGTTCCCCCTTAGTGTTTGGGTTACGACCCCCCCATGGCTGACGGTAACAGTTCATGTGACACCTTTTCTCCTCCCCTCCATCCCACCGCTGCCACCATATTGCTACTCTTTGTAACACTGTTCTTACTAACGTTTTGACACTAAGAATTTACCACCAATGTATACATGTACACTGTAAATACAAGCCACAGTCACCCCTTCAGTGAAAACCACAGCCAGTATCCACAGGAACGGAAGGTTGAGGTACAGTACAGGAACTGTCAGGATGTTATGACGAGAGAAATTATGGGCAAGATCTAATGGTTCTAACAGGTGCCACCACGCTCGGATGTATTTTAATTTATAATTACTGTAAATAATTATGTCCTGACCCTGAGGGGAAAGATCATGGACAATGAATAGTGATCTGCACTGATTCAAAAGCAGCACTACAGAGCCTAAGTAATAATCATGCAGAAAACCTTGCGATAGTCGCGGAAATCAAGATAGCTGTGAGGGTACTAATCAACCAGGGAAGAGTTGTCAAATTTCTGTGGATTCCCTCCCATGTTGGAATCTGTGAAAATGAAAGAGCAGAAGTGCAGGCTGCTAAAGGCGACCATATTGAATACTTCATACCAAAGAATCTTCTACAAATTAGAGGTATTGTCAGGCAACATCACCGTGACAAGGTAACCAAGGAAAGGAGAACAGAAGTACAAACTAGTGAATCTGTACAATGATACATCATGGTTGCAGCTAGTAATCCGAATCATTATGGACGAAGAGGAGGTGGCTGCGGGAGAGAATCAGTAATAGCGAGAATCCGTCTTGGATACAAATATCCATGGAGATTCGGAATGGAAACAGTTGAGCAGCGGAGTTGCAGAATCTGTGGTGAGAGTGATGGACACCGCCTAGACCACGAGACTGTGAACGTCTGGGAGACATTAGAAATATGTGTAGAATAATAAACTCCCACATTGAGTTAGGAAAATACCCTTTGTAAAACATAGATATTGCTATTAAGATTCCCCCATTTTGCACCCGCAAGATAACGTAAGATTTTAAGGGTTGACGAAAGTTAATCTTTTAGTTTGAGAAGCTGTTCACTTGAGACAGTGAACCTCTCCGACCTCTCCACTCTGCCTCTTCCTTGCGCCCTTCTCATTTTTCATGACATAGTCTTCAATGCTGCCCTCCATTCCATTCCTCACTCTACCTCCCAGGGCATGCGGAAGTGCGTTCCCTGGTGGAATGCGGACTGTGCTCGGGCTGTCTGCTGTAAGTGTGCAGCCTGGAAGAAACACCGACGCCGGCAGACGACTTATTCTTTTATTTTGTTTCGGAAAGCAAGTGTGGCGGCCCGTAAGACCATCCGTACAGCTAAACGTGAGAGTTGGAAATATTATGTTTCCACCATTACGCCCGATACTCCTCGTCCACAGATCAGGAAGAAGATCGGCAAGATTGTGGGTTAGTTTGTTCCTGATGTCTTGCTGGTCCTTCACCTCCGTGGTACTCTTGTGGCGGACCCAGTGAAGGTCGCGACCGAACTGGGTTCCCACTTTTCGACTATTAGCTCTGGTTCTCATCTTCCTCAATCTTTCCTTCTTCGTAAGCCTGTTCTTGAATCTCATCCCTTAGATTTCCGCACTCCTCTCCGACTTCCCTATAACGATCCCTTCTCTCTCTTTCTTTGAATTTCAGTCTGCCCTGGCCCTCTGCGGTTCTATGGCAGCGGGCTCTGATGACATTGAGATGCTTCGCCATCTCCCTCCATGTGCGTCTCGGTATTTACTGAGCCTGTATAACCAGGTTTGGGAGTCATCAGTCCCTGGGACTGGCTCGATACTGTTGTACTCCCTATTCAGAAACTAGGGTCTCTTGGGACATCCCCCTAAGGAATTCCGCCCTATTGCCCTCACGAGTTGTCTGCAAACTCTTTGAGTGTATGGTCAATGTCCGTCTGATGTGGTTCTTGGATCACTATCACCACCTCTCCCCTTCTCAATTTGGTTTTCACAAGTGCTGCAGCATAACAGATGTCCTGGTGAACTTGGAGGTCTATATTCGTACTGCTTTTGCTGCGAAGACCTCCGTTGTTGCCGTCCTTTTTGACCTGGAAAAGGCTTATGACACCAGCTGGAGATACCATATTCTGTCCCAACTTCATTCTTTTGGCCTTCGTGGTAATCTCCCTCTCTTTCTCCAAAACTTCTTCTCTCGTCGTTCCTTTAGAGTGAGGCTTGGTACCGCTCTCTCTGCCTCTTTTTCGGCAATTCGAAGGTGTACTCCAAGAAGTTTTCTGAGCACTACTCTTTTTCTGGCAGCCCTCAATGGTCTACTTTCCTCCCTTCTTTTTAGCATCTTCTCCGCTCACTATGTCGATGATCTTATTCTTTGCTGTCGAGGTGATGATTCGCCTCCCCTTCAACGGCAGCTTCAACTTGCAATTCATGCCGTGTCGTCTTTGGCCAACAATCATGGCTTTAAGTTCTCTGCAACTAAGACTTGCGCTATGACTTTTACTCGGAAGCATGTTGTTCTTCGTCCCTCTTTGTTGCTTTATGGTCAGCCCCTTGTGTACAAAGATTCCGCTAAGCTTTTGGGGTTAATCTTTGACACTCATTTGTCTTGGTCGCCCCCTATCTCTTACCTCTGAGTTAAATGCTCTAAGGCCCTTACAGCATTCAACTCGACACACTAGGCGCACGCTCCTCTTTGCATTCGTCTCTCGTACTGTCTAAACTCGATTATGGTTGCTCTGCTTACTTTTCTGCTTCTCCTTCTACTCTTGACCCTTTGCCCCATACTGGGTTGCACCTCAGCTCTGGTGCCTTTCGTTCGACTCCTACCCTCAGCTTGTACGTTGACACTGGCTTCCAGTCTCCACAGGACCGCCGAGATGGCTACTGTCTTCGCTACCTTGCGCAGTCCTTAAAACACCCTCACTCTCGCCTGTGTCGTGCTTTGACTTTTACCCCTCCTGTTGTTCCTGTTCCCATTCACCACCTCCCTCTTTCTGCCCGCTTGTCTCGTCTGAAACATTGTCTTTCGGTTAGTATTACTAATATTTCTCCTCTGTTCCGTCCTTGCCTCCGTGAAAGGTCCCCATTCCTCAATATTGTAAATCCCTGACCCACATCACTTAAGCTTTTACCCCTCCTACAGTTCTGAAACGCCGTTGTTTTTTCTGACCACACCCAGGTGTCGCCTGCCTCTGAAGACTAGCATCTTCACGGCAGAACCTTATGCTATTCTTCATGCTCTTCGTCTCCTGCTTTCTCACTGTCACTCCTCCTTCGTGATCGTAGTTGACTCTCGTAGTGCCCTCATGGCTCTGGAGTCCTTTGATCCAGTCCATCCGGTGGTAGTCAAGATTCAACATTGGCTATTTTGTCTCCAGTAGATATAAGAGAGCTGCATTTTGCTGGATTCCCAGCCATATTGGTATCTCTTGAAATGAGCGTGTGGACACTGCCGCTAAGGAAGCCATCCACACTTGTTCCATCTCCCATAAAGGTATTCCTTATTCCGACTTTTACCCAGTTATTCATTCCTCCATCCTTGCCCATTGGCAGGGTTGTTGGTCTTCTGTTTCTGGTAACAAACTGCGTACTCTTAACAGTAATGTGTCCCTGTGGCCTTCCTCCTACCACCGTAACCGGCGGTGGGAAACAGCCCTGGCGAGGTTGCGTATTGGCCATACACGCTTAACTCACGGACACTTAATGGAGCGCCACCCTGCTCCTTATTGTCCTAACTGCATTGTCCCTCTTACAGTTGTGTGTATCCTTGTTGAATGACCTGACTTCCAGGACGAGCATGTGTCTTGCTTTCCGACCGTCCCCTACGGTCACTTGTTCCTTGATAGAATTCTTGGTGAACCGGATACCTTTGATATCGTTCGCCTTGTGCGTTTCTATTCTCGTATTGGCATCCTTGGTGATATTTAGCGCCCTCTGATTGTTCCGCACATTTGATGGTGCTACATAGCCTTCCCGGCTTGGTGCCTTCCTTTGATAATTACTTACTTACTTATACTCCTATTCTAAAATTCACTAGTTGGCAATAGTGGTAAATTACTATGATTAAAAAACTAGGAAACATCTTCCTTAATCTGCTATCTTCGACTGGTGGATTTCTAATCAACGGGGTTTCTTTTCCTGGAGCGACCACGTAGCTGTTTCCTAAACCCCATTAAAGTTTTCTAAGTGTCTTACAGAATTTTCTGTGAAACTCCGGTCCCCTGGTACCGACAAGAGAGTCACAGAACGAGTTGTAAACTGAGAAGTCTGGGAACAGGAGAGAAGGTAGAAGACGAAAATTAAGGGGAGGAGAAAGGCAGTGTAACAGCCAAGGGAATTTACTTGGCTGTTACACTGGATGTATGTTTGTATAATCTCCCCATCGGGTAGCCCAACCACTTGGGCTGGACGGTAGAGCGACGGTCTCGCTTCATGCAGGTCGGCGTTCAATTCCCGACCGTCCAAGTGGTTGGGCACCATTCCTTTCCCCCGTCCCATCCAAAATCCTTATCCTAACCCCTTCCCAGTGCTATATAGTCGTAATGGCGTGGCGCTCTTCCCTGATAATTCCCTCCCTCCACATCGGCTGATGTTTCCAGTATACACAACCGGGTTAATATGTGTGATCAAGTTTACTGAGAAGCCAGCCGACGTGCCCTTGTATCACCACTCACTGTTACAGTTTACTACGATGTGGACCCCAACGGTGGAGCCGTGAAGCTGACGGTAGACCGCTCGGCGCAGGCCTCTCTCCTCAAGACCTGGAACATTAAGGTCTCCCAGATCGCCTGTGACTCCAGGTTCCGAGGTGAGATCTCTTTATTTTATATCTTTACCTCAGTCTTAGTGCTTAAGTTTCCCCTCCATGAAAGATCTGTTCCATGAATCTGTTCCTCAACATATGCTAAACGACCGTCTAAAAGCCATCTCTTAATAAGAATGTCCCATAAGCTGGCGTGATACACTAACCATGCCCCTGGTGTCTACTCTCCCTGCCTGCCCCTACAGCGCCCGTGGGCTGCCTGCAGTACTACACGACCACCGCTGGCACAGTCAGCAGCTTCAACTTCCTCAACACCAACACCGCCACTGGTCAGAGCAGTAAGTACCAGTACTTGCACTGCAACATGCACTCCAAACCTCACTATATTAATGTCTCGTACAACCCGACATCAGCTAGTTGTGCCTCTATTACAAGTGGAGTCTGTTAAGGTGCTGCTTCTCTGCCAATTGGAGACCGAAGTCGTTGACAACTCATGAAAATCTGTTCTCAACATGCCAATCCCTGAGCTCTAGTAGTATGGGTCACCATTATCACACTGTTTGGTCTAGGAGTGGACGACTGTTGTTCGGAATTAAAAGTCCGCAATAAGAATGGTAAAAATAACAAAATTAATTCAATCACTTGTAATATTGACATTACTTAAGTACTTATGTCCTCGGTTCATGAAAAGCGACAGACGGGTTTACAATGTGAAAATTTACTGTCAAAATAATTGCCAAATAATTCTGAAGACAACTTGTCTTCAAATAACACTTATGGAATATAAACATTCCTGTAAATGTCACTGGCAGGCACTATTATTACATAGGGACAACAGATTCACGCATAAAACGAAGTATATAGAACTTAGCAGAGATGCAGCCACTCGTCCTGCCGCTCCCAGAATACCTCTGCAACTAACCAATTTATACACGTCAAGCTAATGCTGTAACAGCCCCTTATGTATAGAGGGGCAGTGTTGAAATGTATTGGCCCCTTAATGTTGATAGAATCTTCTCTTAACGTAGCTTTTGCACCTCAACTTTTTAATGGGACTATTTGCGCTTCTTAATAAGTCACCTTTTTCACTCCTTTAGAGCCATGGACCTTATTTATGTCTCCACACAGCCACATCTTCTGTTCTGTAGCTTCCACCTGCCGTTTACTAAGGCTGGTTGGTGTTCCACAGACAGGCAGCTGTCCAACCAGGACTACGGGATCTGCATCAAGCGAGCCGACAACTACTGCGGCATCACCTGGGAACCAAACAATGTTGGTGGCACCTTTGGCTTCACCATCTCCGGAGCAGCCGATGCTCTTGGACCAGACCTTATAGGTAAGGCACCTTACCTTGAAGTTACTTTGAAGTGTTTTCGGGGCTTAGCGTCCCCGCGGCTCGGTTGTCGACTAAGCCTCCTGGTTGCTGGACTGGTCAAACAGGCTGTTTGACGCGGTTGCTCGGAGCCTGATGTATGAATCACAGCCTAGTTGATCAGGTATCTTTTGGAGGTGTTTATCCAGTTCTCTCTTGAACACTGTCAGGGGTCGGCCAGTTATGCCCCTTATGTGTAGTGGAAGCGTGTTGAACAGTCTCGGGCCTCTGATGTTGATAGAGTTCTCTCTAAGAGTACCTGTTGTACCTCTGCTTTTCAACGGGGATATTCTGCATATCCTGCCATGCCTTCTGGTCTCATGTGGTGTTATTTCTGTGTGCAGGTTTGGGACCAGCCCCTCTAATATTTTCCACGTATAAATTATTATGTATCTCTCCCGCCTGCGCTCAAGAGAATACAGATTTAGGCTCTGTAGTGGGTCCCAGTAGTTTAGATGTTTTACTGAGTGAATTCTAGCAGTAAAGGATCTCTGCACGCTCTCCAGGTCAGCAATTTCTCCAGCTTTGAAAGGAACTGTCAATGTACAGCAGTACTCCACTCTAGAGAGCACTAGCGACTTGAAAAGTATCACCATCGATATAGCATCTCTAGTGTGAAAGATTCTTGTTATCCAACCTGTCATTTTTCTTGCAGTTGTGACGGCTACTTTATTGTGTTCTTTAAAGGTAAGGTCTTCCGACATGAGTACACCCAGATCCTTTACATTGCCATTTCGTTCTATGTTATGATTTGACTGAGTTTTGTACGTGGTTTCCGTTTTTATATTTTCATTTTTTTCCGTACCGCATGAGCTAGAACTTATCTTCGTTAAACACCATATTATTTTCTGTAGTCCATAGAAAGACCTGGTTTCCGTCTGATTGGAGGTTTGCCATGTCCCCTATGTCGTCTACTCTCATGAAAATCCTAGTGTCATCTGTAAAGGATAATACAGTACTTTAGATTGTGTCCTTGTCTGTCTGATATGAGAATGAGAAAAAGTACTGGAGCAAGCACAGTACCCTGGGGGACTGAGCCCTTCACGGTTGATGGACCGAATTTTATTTTATTGACTATTACACATTGGGTTCTGTTACGCATTTTATGTGCAATAACACCATGATCACGATTGTCAACGGCTTTGGCGAAATCTGTGTAAATTACATCAGCGTTTTGTTTGTCTTCCATGGCATCTAATGCCATGTCATAGTGGTCCAGCAACTGTGACAGGCAAGAGCGCCCTGTTCTGAAACCATGTTGTCCGGGGTTATGGAGATGCTGTGATTCCATGCATTTTGTGATCTTACTTCTTAACACTCTCTCAAAGATTTTTATGATGTGCAATGTTAGTATATCGGGAATGTTGTTGGTATATAACAATGTTATATACTATATTGCTATACAATGTTAGTATAGCATGGGAAAGTGAAATAACTATGCTTACAACTGAATTTGGCAGGAATAAGGGAAGCATGATAAAGGAAGGGGGGAGTAATGGGGGATAGAATAGCGAGTGTGGAAGGGGTGGGGCGACCTGCATGACCCTTCACTGAGGAGGAGGTCAATCATAATTCATGGATTACTTGAAGTCAAGGCTCCATCGAGGCAGGAAAGGATGGATATTGAAGATTTTGAGTTACAGGGGATCTTGAGAGATATCAGAGCCCAGATGGCAGGAAATGAAGTGGGAATCTACCGCCGTATTGGGGCTTACAACTGTAACAAGAAACGACCTGTCCTGGTAGAGTTCACTAACGAAGAGGCAGTGGATTATATACTGTAACACAAACACTTACTTAGAGGTAACGAAAACTATTACAACATGTTTATTGACAGATACCTGACAAAATATGAACAGATAGCCCACAGGGCGAGCAGACCTCCACGACACACCTCTTCCCATTCGGGCGTAGTTAACCCCCGCCCGTGCTAACGAGCTCACACCTGCTTCCTAGGTCACACCCTCCCCAAATCAGCCCTCCCTGCCCCTGCTTACCTCCCCAACACCTCCCCTGACCCCTCTGACCCCATTGCATTCAAATCCATCTGCTTTATCCCACATTCCAAGGACCCCCTCATCCCCTCAACCCCCAAAACCTGCCCAGCCCTCACCCCTCCTCAGCCACTCTCTCTCCATATGACCCCCTACCCTTGTAAGGGGGGGGGGTCACATGGACCCCCCCCTCCCCCCACCTCTTTCTCCATTTTCCTCTTCCCCTTCCCCCTCTGCCCCAATGCCCACACCTACCCCTGAGTTCCCCCTTACTAATACAACCTCTCTCCCACTCTCACTATCCATGTTCCATCTGCCCCTCTTTCCCCCACCCCCTGTATTTTTCTCTCCCCCCCTCCCCAACCTCTCAACCTCTATCTGACTCTCAACCTCACGCTACCTCTCAATCCCCCTATGCCTCTCAGATCCTCCCTAATCTTCAGACACAGTATGACCTTCCTACTCCAGACCTACCTACCCAGGCCCTACCCCAGACCTTCCAACCTACCCTCCTCGATGCCCAGCCCCCATTCGCCCTCAAGCACCCCACCAGACCCCATTCACCCCCCAGACACCCCCCGGATCTCCCCCCAGACACTCCCCAGAACCCCCCAGACACCCCCCCGGATCCCCCTCTAGACACTCCCCAGAACCCCCCAGAGAAAGGGCAAACTCTGGTACCAGATTTTCCATTAAGAATCTCAAGGTTTGGTACACCAATGCTGATGGGGTAACTAATAAAGCAGAAGAGATAAAAGAAAGGGTTAATGAGGCAGATCCTGACATAGTTGCAATAGTGGAAACTAAAATATGATCTCCGACATGATCTCCGATGCAATCTTTCTAGAGGGGTACCAGGTGAAAGAAAAGAGAGGACACATAGACAGGGAGGGGGAGTGGCACTTCTAATAAGGCAGAAATTGAAGTTTGAAGACCTGGGAAATCGGGTTACCAATGAGAGCACAAGCGCCACACATGGAACTCTGACAGCAGATGGGAGGAAGATTGTGATCTTGGTAATCTACAATCCCCCACCAAACAGTAGAAGATTCAGGCAGGAGTATGATGACGACAACAACAAGGCATGCATAGATGAACTGCAGAAGGCAGCAACATTAGCTCACAGAATGAGAGCAAAGCTGCTGGTCATGGGGGATCTAAATCTTGGAGAGAGAAATTGGGATTCAAGGAACCCCGGTGACGAAACTTGGGGAGCAAAGTTAGTAGATGTTACAGACAGGAATTTCCTAACACAACATGTGAAGGAAGACACAAGGGAAAGAGGAGATGCACCGAGCCTATTAGACCTGATTTTCACCCAGAACGTAGAAAGCATCGAGAATTTGGAACATGAAATACCTCTAGGGGCCAACGACCATTGTGTCCTAGTCTTTGACTACATGATGGAACTCAAACTTGTGACCATGGAACAAGAGGTCTGGGAAAGGAGAGTTGACTACAGGATGATAAGGGACTATCTGGGAGAAGTGCCGTGGTTGGAAGAAATTAGAAGAAAAACAGTCCAAGATATGATGGACCTAGTCATACGGAAATACCAGGAGGCCGAAGAGAGATTTATATCAACAGTAAAGGGAAAAAGTAAGAGGAAATATAATAACCCATGGTTTAATAGACAGTATCAGGAAGCAAAAATGGCCAGCAGGCGGGAGTGGAGGAAGTACAGAAGACAAAGGACAGAGGAAAACAGGATCAGATACAACAGAGCTAGGAATGATTACATTAACATAAGACGAACATCGGAAAGGAACTATGAGAACGATATTGCGATCAAAGCGAAAAAGCAATCTAATTTACTACACAGCCATATAAGAAGAAAAATGTCGGTGAACGACCATGTGACAAGACTAAGGAAAACAGAGGGGGCATATACTGAAAGTGACAAGGAAATCTGCGAGGCACTGAATGCCAGTTTCCATGAAGTGTTCACAACCGAGCCTGAGCAGCTCCCATTGTTAGAAGAGATTACCCTAGATGAAAGACTAACAGATATAGAGGTGACAGCAGAGAAGGTAATGAAACAGTTAACACTGGATGCAACTAAAGCGGTTGGACCAGACAAAGTATCACCGTGGATACAAAAAGAGGCAGCGCAGGCCCTCGGCGTGCCTCTGGCAAGGATCTTTAATTAATCACTAATGTCTGGAGAATTGCCCAATTGCTGGAAGAGGGCAAATGTTGTACCGATTTTCAAGAAAGGCGATAGGGAGGAGGCACTTAACTATAGACCTGTATCACTGACAAGCATCCCTTGTAAAATACTTAAAAGAATAATTTGGCTATGACTGGTTGCACACCTGGAGAACGTTGGGTTTGTGAACAAACATCAACATGGGTTCTGGAAAGAGAAATCGTGCCTAACAAACCATTTGGAATTCTATGATAAAATGACGAGGATAAGACAGGACAGAGAAGGTTGGGCAGACTACATTTCTGGACTGCCAAAAAGCCTTTGATAAATTACCGCACATGAGACTGCTGTTCAAACTCGAGAGGCAGGATGGGGTGGGAGGAAAGGCCCTAGCATGGATAAGCAGCTACCTAACAAGGAGCCAAAGAGTTACGGTAAAGGGCGAGAAGTTGGACTGGCGAACAGTAACGAGTGGAGTACCTCAAGGATCGGTGCTGGGATCAATTCTATTTCTAATATATGTTAACAACATGTTTACAAGAGTAGTCCTATATGTCGATGTTTGCGGATGATGCAAAGTTGATTAGAAGAGTTGTGACAGATGAGGATTGCAGGATCCTCCAAGAGGACCTGAACAGGTTGCAGAGATGGTCAGAGAAATAGCTGCTGGAGTTCAACACGAGCAAATGTAAAGTTATGGAAATGGGACTAGGTGATAGGAGACCAAAGGAACAGAACACGATGAAAGGGAACTGCCTACCTGTGACGACGCGAGAAAGAGACCTAGGATTGGACGTAACACCTAACCTATCTCTTTAGGCACATATAAATAAGATAATGACAGCAGCGTACCCTACACTGGTAAAAGTTAGAACATCATTCAGGAACCTAAGTAAGGAGGCATACTTAGGGCGCTTTACACTGCCTACGTGAGGCCAGTCTTAGAGTATGCCAACTCATCATGGACTCCCTATCTGAAGAAGCATATAAGGAAACTGGAAAAGGTTAAGAAGTTTGCAAAGAGACTCTTCCCAGAGTTACGAGGGATGGGGTATGAGGAGCGCCTGAAGGAACTGTGCCTTACGACACTAGTAAAAAGAAGGGAGAGGGGGGATATGATAGGAACGTATAAAATACTCAGGGGGGGGGGGGGGATTAACAGAATGGGCATAGACAAAATGTTCACACGGAATAGTAACAGAATGAGGGGACATGGGTGGAAGCTGGAAACTCGGATGAGTCAGAGATGTTAGGAAATTTTCTTTTAGCGTGAGAGTAGGGGAAAAATGGAATGCACTTATGGAACAGGTTGTGGAAGCAAATTCTATTCATAATTTTAAAACTAGATATGCAGGGAGGCCTGGTAGACGACCGGGCCGCGGGGACGCTAAGCCCCGGAAGCACCTCAAGGTAGATATGATAGGAAAATAGGACCGGAGTCATTGCTGTAAACAACCGATGGCTCGAAAGGCGGGATCCAAGAGTCAATGCTCGATCCTGCAGACAAATAGGTGAGTACACACACACACACACACACACACACGCACACACACGCACACGCACACACCCGACAGCTGAGTGGAGGGGGCCTCATAGCTGAGTGGACAGCGCTCTGGACTCGTAATCCTAGGGTCCGGGTTCGATCCCCGCTGATGGCAGAAACAAATGACCAGAGTTTCTTTTTCCCTGATGCCCCTGTAACCTAAAAGTAAATAGGTACCTGGGAGTTAGACAGCTGTTACGGGCTACTTCCTCGTTGTGTGTGTGGGGAAAAAAAATAGAAACAGTTAATTGACTGACAGTTGAGAGATCGGCTGAAAGAGCAAAGCTCAGTCCCCCGCAAGCACAACTAGGTGATTACAGTTAGGTGAATACACACGAACTCCTACTGCCTTAATCTCTCTCTGCTCCACTTAAGTGGGCCAGAGAGAGAGACCCAGACACGTCACCGCACACAGGGCATGGGGGAGAATGGAGGATATACTACCTGTGGCTGGATCAACCAGGTATTAGCGGAATTCAGCAATGAACTGAGAGAAATGAATGCAATATTACAGAGCCTCCAGAGTGAGCTGGGGGAAGCCAAGGAAGAGATGAGACTCGGAGGAAAATCAGATTTCGAACCAGAACGAGGCAAGCAACCTCCTGAAAACGGGATGGAGCTGATGGAGGGTCTCCTTCCAGGGAGACTCGTTTGTAGAAATACTGGTTAACAACCAAAGTGCTAAAGCTGCTTTAGAGGAAGCAGCTATGAAAGCAGCTACTTCCTAGGAAGCTGCAAAGTGCTCCACACAAATGCTGGAGAGAAAAAAAACTTATAGTTGTTCAGGAACTGGAAGGATCCAACAGGGAGAAGTGGAGAAGGGAGGACTGAGCAACGGTGACAAAGATCTTGGAGGGTCTGGATATGGTAGGGGCTAATGGCAACACAGAGAAGGTTTTCAGGCTGGGCGGCTACAAGAAGGAAAGGAAAAAATTGATAAAGTTAGTGCTCATGAACGAGGCGATGAACTAGGAAATCCTATCCAGGAAGATCAGACTCATGAGGCTAAATGAATACGAGGACGCTTTTCTGCAAAGGAACATGACGAGGGAAGAGAGAAGGAAGGCTGCAGAAGCAAAGAGGAGACACAAAGAAAGGGGTGGGGAATTATTCAGTCCTAGTCCTGAGCCCAGAAAGATCTAGGAGTTGATATCACGCCAAACCTGTCTCTTGAAGCCCACATGAAAAGAATAATATCAGCAGCATATGCAAGGCTGGATAACATCAGGACTGCCTTCAGAAACCTGTGTAAGGAATCTTTCAGAACCTTGTATACTACATATGTAAGACCAATCCTGGAGTATGCAGCCGCAGCATGGAGCCCGTACCTTGCTAAGCACAAGACGAAGCTGGAAAAAGTTCAGAGGTAAGGAGAAGACAAGAGACAAGGACAAAGATGAAGTTAATGAGATCTTTAAAGGGGTAAAGAGGGAAAGGGCTAACAAAGAAATTTAAAAGGTTTTCAGGATTGGACGGTATAACAAGGACAGAGACCGAGTGATAAAGGTGGTATTCAAGAGCCAGAGAATAAAAGAGGACTTGTTAGCAAGGAAGAGCAGACTAGCAAATGTACAGAAATTCAAAAAAGCATTCCTGCAGAGGGATATGACAAGGGACGAGAGAAGGAGGGCAGCAGCCGTGAGGAGAGAGAGCAGGGAGAAAGAAAGAATTCAGGGAGCCACAACCCCGAGCCCTACAATCCCAGAGGGGAGCGGGGAACCCTCCACAAGCAGCTCAACAGACACAGGGAGAGAAGCACCTCCCCCATCCTCCACCCAATAGATGCCCTACCTGCCCCAACCCTTGGTGCCCAAGGTGTCCAACTTGGGCACCCTCCCCCCTCCCCAGGATCTCCCATATCCCCCCCAAACTCTCCCTAATCCCACATGCCCTCCCTTCTCCCCCCCCCCCCCTAAACCCTCCAGTATCCTCTACCCTTCTAAGCCCTCCCTATCCCCCCAACTTCCCCCCCCCCAGCCCTCCTTCCTTTTATGCCCCGTATGCGAGGCTGGCTAACATCAGAAGTGCCTTCAGAAACCTGTGTGAGGAATCCTTTAGAACCTTGTATACCACATATGTAAGACCAATCCTGAAGTATTCGGCACCAGCATGGAGCTCGTACCTTGTCTAGCACAAGACGAAGCTGGAAAAAGTTCAGAAGTTTGCCACTAGACTAGTCCCAGAACTAAGAGCCATGAGTTACAAGGAAAGGCTGCGGAAAATGCACCTTACAACACTGGAAGATAGAAGAGTGAGGGGAGACATGATCACTACTTACAAAATCCTCAGGGGAATTAACTGGGTAGACAAGGATAAACTATTCAACACTGGTGGTATGCGAACAAGGGGACACAGGTGGAAACCGAGTATACAAATGAGCCACAGGAACGTTAGAAAGAACTTTTTCAGTGTCAGAGTAGTTAATAGGTGGAATGCATTAGAGAGCAATGTGGTGGAGGCTGACTCCATACACAGTTTTAAATGTAGATATGATACAGCCCAGTAGGCTCAGGAACCTGTACACCAGTTGCTTGACGGTTGAGAAGCGGAACCAAAGAGCCAAAGCTCAACCCCCGTAAACACACACACACACACACACACACACACATACATACATACATACATATTCATTCATTCATTCATTCAAGACATTAAATATGACTGGGGTTTCTCAAGACTAATATGCTGCTGTCCACATATGCTAGCTTGTGTCTAGAGTACTACACATACAAGGAACACACAGCACCATGTGGTGTAGTACACACAGCAACATGTAGTATACTACACACACAAGGAACACACAGCAACATGTAGTGTACTACACACACAAGGAACCTTCAAACTTGCCTCGGAAGCTTCGTTGGATTCAAATTTGCCTCAAATGTGTTCTGCGAAAGAGCGCCAGTACTTAATCCAGAACTTATACAGGTACCATTATCACGAGCAGCCGGGACAGTGACTGTACTACGGACTACGTGGTCATCCCCGGGGGGATGTACACCACTTCCTCCACCAGTACTGTTGCCACGCCCGCTGGAAGGTACTGCGGCCTCGGCTTCCCTCCCTCAGTTACTAGTAAGTAACCCCTTCGTCACCTGTACCTTAATCTCCCTCACCTGTACCTTAATCTCCCTCACCTGTACCATGTCTACCTCACCTGTATCATAAGCTTCTTTACCTGTACTACGGACTCCCTCACCTGTGTCCTGACCTCCATGTGTATGTCCACACACGTGAACAAACACAGGGACTACTTGTGTAAAGGAGGAAACGTACATGTTTATCTCTCAGAATGTTTGGTAATATGTTTATTGCTTGTGATGTGTGTCTATGTATGTATTAACACGATGTACTGAACGGGGTGAGAATAGCTTGAGCTACCTCATCCCTTTGTGTGTATTTTACCTCAATAAACTTATTTATATTTCAATTTCAACACAGGGACACTTTACTTCATCTTGATCCCCATGGGCACCATATCCAACAGTGGAGTTAGTTCAACGGGGAATCACCGATATGATGTGTAAATCAGTGTTTACTTCTTCCCGGCTTGGTGGCTTCCTTTTTTTTCATAATTACTCAACCTTGATGGCGTTAATTATCTTGTCGCTGTTCAATGAAACTTTTAAATGAAACCTTCTGTAATAATTACATTATGTTCTTTCCCGTGGCAGCCACGTCCCAGCCCTTCATCCTGTACGTGAAGACGGACGACAACGAGACGCGAGACACCATCAACCGCGGCTTTAGACTCAACTACAGACAGATTACCAGCTGCGCATAATTATTATTGAATATATTATTACTATTATGTATAATACTCCAACTGTCTCCACTTGTAATTTGTTTACGTTGCTGTAATAATAAACAGGTCAATAATAACAATAATTAGCCTACTTGTTGCCAGCTGGGGCATCACTTGTTCTATAGACTCGGTCTTAAGCTGTAAGCCAAATACTGACATACGTAGATTTTAGTAAGTCAATATTTGACTTGTACATGAGACAATCAAGCAAGAGGATGAATCTTCTATAGAGTACAATAAGTGTTTTTGTTAAATGTTAATTAACATAATTATACATTGCGCGTTTATGCATATAGTTAGGTCTAGGTAATATTAAGTAGTGCTTTTTTGTGTAGGCAAGGTTTACAACACGGGTGAACGAAACTCGTCTCGAGTCATAGCTTTGAACATGTTCTAGTGAACTACAAGCCAAATACTTACTTGTAAATTTTAACAAGTCAGTATTTGACTTGTACGTTGTGAACCTGACGGCCCTTGGTGATATAATGAGCCGAGTCCCACATTGTTAGCGATAGTAGTGAGGATGTTCTCCTCACCTGTAAATTCTTGGTTGTATAATATTTTTTTACTTATTGAGTACAATTGTGTTATTATTTTATGTATTAATATTCATGAATATAATATGTATTAATGAACGCTTGTGAACGAAGGTTTTAATTGTATTATTATTATCATTGTTTGTATTATTATGTCCCCACATAGAGGACAGACGTTTGGGGCAAGCCTCGCCTAACTTTGCGTGGTGATTGGTAAAGGAAAGGTGACCAACATGGGTGTGTCAGGGTCGGCCCCATTGATCCTAATAAAACGGGGTTCGGCATTCATGACACATATCCCCCCCCCCTCTCCCTCCCCCTGCAAATCAGTCAAATGCGGGCGGCCGAGTCCATAGAATGTATTGTCGGGTTGGCCCCATCATGGCACGACCCGGAGACCCGGTCGACTCCCTGGCACTGGGTCGACTCCCTGGCACTGGGTCGACTCCCTGGCACTGGGTCGACTCCCTGGCACTGGGTCGACCCCCTGGTTCCCAACACTTAAATGGCGCAATCTTTGAGGGTCGACCCGAACACCGTCGGACACTCCACTTGGTAATATATATAGAAAAGTATTGAAAGCAGAGTTGTGTAAAACTTGTTTATTATTTACTAGTTAACACATCTTCGTGTGAAGTTGTAGCTAAGTACATAACAATAAAATATTAGTGAGACAAGGTATGTTGTTAAGCCATAATGATGTGATTACGTTCACAACACAGTACGAGGAGGCAATATGTACACTATACAGTATGGAGCCGGAGTGTGATGCTAAATGGAACAGTCCTGTCCTTTTGAAGGTTTATGCTCCTGCTGCTGTCTTCGCGAATTGTGCTGGATGCCTTTTCCTCTAACTTATTGTTTAATTCTTCCTCCCCCCCCCCATCTCTTCTCCTTCCTGATTGTTCTTTCCCGCTGGCTTTTTGCAATTCTTGATTATTCTTTCAGACGTCTTCTTCTGTTTTGACACCCGGGTGTTTGGGGAGGCCCGCACTCTCACCCGTAGAACTGTGGTACCTGACGTTGTCGAGCGAGGGAGCGCTTTTATTGTCAGTCTTTGCCTTTGTTGCTGAACCCGATCTCGACGGACTGACGGTTCATGAGGTGGCGCTTGCAGGGCGTATACCCACGATGCACCCCCTGGGGGACCCCGTCTTGTCGGGTATCCTATCCTCTGATTGTGGCTCCATGATAGGTATGGGGGCTTATTCGTAGATTAAATTTTTACCTGTTTATATGCCGATATCTGATCCTCTTTTTAACTTCTCAGACTAGTGGGGTGCGCGACCAGGCCCCAGAGTCGGAGTGGGCTGGAAGGCCGGGCTCTGTAGCCCCTGCTCCATTGGGCCCCCGACTATGCTATTCTCACTCCTGACTACCCCCTCTCTGCTCCCCTCCCACCTCTGTGGCGGGATTGAGCCCCATGCCCCCAGTGATGACCACCTCATCACCTGGAGTGGCTTGATCATTCGTCACAACTGCGCCTTTTATCCCCTCTCTTACTGGACGTGCTCGGCGCCGTCACCACCGCGCTAGCTCGCGCATGATTCCTTCCCAATCTTCTACTTTCCAGGCTTTGGTCCTGCTGCGTGGACTAAGTATTTTGATCTTAGTCATGTTGACCCTACTCGTCCTGATGTTTTATTCCTCCATAACCCCAGTGTTGATTCGGTGGATACGTTTGACACCTTAAACCCCACCCGTACTGGTACCTGTGTTCTTGCAACCAATTCTCATGAAGTGGCTGCCCACTTGGCTTCGTTGTCTTGCATTGGGAAGACCGCTGTTTGGATCTCCAAAAATGCACGGTTGAATGCCAGCAGTGGCCCAGTTCTTCTCCCGCACCATGTTGCGACTGGTGATAGGGAACTGAAAGACTGCCATGAGGATATTAAGTATATCTTTGAAGCCCAAGCCATTCTGTCCTCCAGATACATTCACTCGACCCCCCTCCCCTCGTGGTCGTCGTCGTCCAACCCGTCCTCTTAAAAATGCTGCTTTTCGCTCGTATGGTAAAAAATGGACACAGTTTGAAATGAAATCAGCTCACGAAAGTGACGTACTGTCCCGTTTTCTGTTTGAGTCCTCCGGCTTACTCGGAAAGGTTAGAAGAGTTAACTTTCAATTAACGATTTTCATGACATTTTGAAACTTTAGGAGATTTTCCTGCCCTCCTAACCTACCAGAGGACCCTTAACTTACGGTTTTAGGAAAAAATATCCCAGATTTATTTTAATTTTAATTTTTTTTCATTTTCAAATTACGTCCAATTTCGGTCAGACGGCTAAACGGCCAAATTCAGACATGGTTTGTAAGAGGGGCAAGTTTGCGTCTCTTTGCGTTGTGAAGGTCATGTTTGATGGTCGGTCCCATTCGTCTTCCGTAATTCTTGCTGGTGCCCGATGCTCCGTTCAGGAATACATCCCCTCTCCTCGCCTCTGCAACAGGTGTTGGAGATTTGGTCATGGTCCCTTCAGGTGCACAAGTGAAGTGTGTCTATGCCCCTTGTGTGGAATCTTGGGTCATTCTAAGATGGAGTGCCCTTCTTCCCAGACTCTGCATAAATTGCTCAGTTTAAAACAGTGATCATTTGTCTTTTCCTGAAGCAAGACGCCAGGTTTGCCATCTTCCCTCTTCCTCTGGCATGTCTTATGCTCGTCTATTGCATTCCACTTCTCTTCGCCCTCTCCTACTTTCTCAGTTTCGCAACCATTTCGAGGCCTTGGACTCCAACATCTCAACCACCACCACCTTCTGCTCCTTTGCGTTTTGGGCCAAAGGGTCTTTCTCTCAGTTCTCCGTCTGATGTTTCCTTCCTTCCCGGTCTTCCTTTTCTCTTGTGCCCTCTTTCCCTTCTCGCCCCACTCCTCCTTCTAAGCCCTCCCGTCTGTTTTTGGCCCTTCTCACCGCCTGTCTCTTCGGGCCGTTGTCCATCCTCCTCCCAGCGTTCTTCATGTTGACCGTTCCAATTTTCCTTTTGTTCAAACTGTCGAGGAGGTCGCCCACTACATTTCTGATGGTATGCCTGTCTCTCTACGTCAGAAACGTAAGCATGGCTTTTCTCCTTCTTCCTCCCCGGTGGGTAAGAAGGCTTCAATATATTCCTCACCTTCCGACTTCTACAATATCCCTACTTCCCCACCCATTTCAGTGGCAGTCACCTGTCCCTACTATGGAGCTTCCCTTGGTCCATGATCCTCTCTTGGATGCTGCCTTTGATCCAATACCCTCTCCTGTTTCTGTCCTTCCTGCCCCCAATTCCCTTGACCTCCCCTCTCCGATGCCTCCTCCCGCTCCAGACTGTCAGTCCGCCGCTGGTCCGTCCTCCAGCTCCCTTGCCTCCATTATCTTCGCTAGCTTTGCCCATGCCCCGTCACCCTGATTTCACTAATCCTGGTCCTGATCTTCCTTAGTCTACTATGTTCTTCTTTGCCTTTGTTTCCACCTTATCTCTATTTATTTTTTCTCTTTTTGTCCATGTCTGTGTTCTTCAAAGGAATATTCGTGGTTTTTATGTCAACTTCCATGAACTCCAACTTCTGATCGCACAGTTTTCACCGCTATGTATTTGTCTCCAGGAGCCGATGCTAAGCGTTCGTCCTGGTCGCTTCTGTGATTATTCCTTTCTCTCTTCGCCTCCAGCTTTTGCTGGGCCCATGCCTCTACTGCTCTCTTGATCCGTTATGATATTCCCTTCGTCGCCTTACTATTTCAGTCGCCCATTCAGTGTTCTGCGGCCAATATCTTTTAAGAGTAAATAATATACAGTCTTCCCTTTATCTCCCCCCAACTGTCCCACTTTCTCTTCCTGATCTTAAACACCTGTTGGACTCCTTACCGGAGCCTGTGCTCCTGTTGGGTGATTTTACCTGTCGGCATTCCCTCTGGGGAGATGTTCTGACAAACACCCGGGGGGCCACCTTCTTCAACTATTTGTCCTCTCTTCTTCTCTGTCTCTTCTGAATTCTGGGAAACCCACTCATTTTGACCCCTGCACTCGCAACACTTCCTGTCTTGATCTTTCTCTCTGCTAGTCTTCTCTTTATTTGATCTTCACTTGGCGTGTTTTTGATGACCTCCACAACAGTGACCTCTTCATGTTATGAGCTACTCTTTCTGACCTCTATGATCTGCCTATTCCCCGAACCCCCTTTCTCTTTCATGACGCTGTTTTTTAAGTTGACTTCTGCTCTGTTTCTCGCTCTACCTCCCGGGGCATGTGGAAGTGCGTTCCGAGCACCACGTTTCACCCGAGCCCCATATGTTTTATAGCAGGCTTGGGATATGTGGCCCAAAGTCCTTGGTCTCCGGCAAGCGTTACAGACCAGAAGCCTCGGGTCTACCCCTTGTAGCTCTAGACGGAGTGGCTACAGAGTTGGTTCTAATCTAGATGGCATGAGCTAAGTCTCCTCTGCTTAGCAGACGGGTACCGGACAAGACCCACTTGTGGCAAGATGGAACCTCACAAGTAGATGCAAGGCCAGCACAATTAACCATGCTGAACAGTTTTACTTTTCAAACCCTAGAGCGCTCAGACGTATTGTTAGAAGGGGTTAGAAGGTGGTTGAGTCTACCCATCGATGCATTCGCGCTTGGAATACGGATAGGAGAGCCGCTGCCACTACCACTGGATCCTCCGTCTCAACCATCGCCATGAGCCGCTTGTTCTTTAGTAGGCGGATTGATACTGCAAAGTTGGAAATTCCACGTCCACCGTTCTTTGTCAGAATGAAAGGAGGAGTTACGGGTATCGTTGGACAGTCGTAGCCAGCCCACGAATGGCCTGCTGCAACCGCCTGCCGAGCCTTCATCATAAGCACACGTTCGAGGACAACCCGGTGGTTCATTTTGGGAATTAGGTGGTGTTTAAGTAGATAGTCTCTATTGGGGTTTGAGGGGGGTTTTAGTGGTGCTGGTTAGACCCTTCTCAAACAGGGAACCATAGGATTAACGTCTGCCTCCGGCCCTGATAAATATGCCTAAGTGCTAGTACTCGTCCACCACACTCATAGTATCAATGACATCGACTCCGACATGGTATTTGTACCTGGTGGGGACATGCCATGTCTTCTGATGCCCATCCACTACTAAGCATAGCATAAGGCATTTTGCAGCATTCACCGTAAGGCAAGAGCCAC